GATCCAACCAATAAGAAGAAAATCCCTTCAGGAGATATTGAGATAGTGGAAAAGCTTTTTAACAATGTATTTCACTACTGACATATGTTAGGTTCCTTGTCTTCTGGTTGTAATGAAAGACAAGACTGCATGTAAGAAAAATGCATTGAGATCGTTGAGGATAAGAGGGGTAATAAATTAAATTACATTATCAGATCTGACGACAAGAGACTGAAAAGTGTTATATACCCACACACACACAGTTGTGGACAGAATTATTCACCCTCTCTTCCATAATTACAACTCAAATTTTCATGGAAATTTCATGTGCATGACAAAATAATGGATTTGAAAGAATGTGCAATGATGCCCACAACAAAATTTTTATTTTAATATCAAACAATAATACAAAAATAAAACAAAATCATTTAACATAGGAAAAAATTATTGGCCCACTTCAATTGTGTAACTTTTATTCTTGATTATTGCCTTCAATCATTTTTGATAATTCCTTACAAGATCACAACAGACACTAACAGGTATTTTGTTCCATTCTTCCTTGACAATAGCTTCTCGTTCCGCCAAATTAAAAGGACTTCTTTTTCTTATTTTTTCTGTGATGACCCCAACGGCATCTTTTGTGAACTTAGTTTTCTATTATTTTTCAGAATAACCAAATACTATTCTTTATCCATGATACCCTTTACTCTCACTAGTTCTTCTGGTCCAGAGGCAGCAAAACCTCCCCAGGGCAGAATGCTTCCACCACCATGCTTAACTGTAGGGAGAGTAATTTTTGGTTTGTGAGCTTCATCCATTTGACTGATAATAAGGAAGAAACTAGAGATCTATGCCAACATCGCTTATATATATATATATATATATATATATGGTAGACTCTCCTATTGTGAATGATAAATGAGGTTCAGCAGTGGATGGTGCCTTTTGTTTTACACTTATTCATGCTAGTAGGAGCTATTGTGGAGAAAATCAAGTAAGGGACAGACATATTTCATTTGTGCTTTCTTAAGTGCAATACTAACCCAGCCTTGCTGTGGGCGACAAAGCTAAACTGACATATGAAATTTGTTAAGGCAGGATTTCCATGGCGTCTACTGCTACAAAGCTTAACAAAACTGATCGTAGTGCTTCAGTCTACTGTCCGCAAAACCCTCTAACTTAATAAAACATGTCTTACACCACTCCTTTTGGTTTGATGCTTGGAATTCCCAGGTTTTCAGATCAAAGTTGAAACTTTCAATTTGTCTTTGTAGCATAAGAGTGGACATCCAACTAAATGCTTTGAGTTTGGTAGTTGTCCATAGAGCATCTTTTTTGCTGTATGGACAAATGCTCATTAATTCTCACTACGTGACCAGCCCACCTGTTTTATCGTTGGTAGAATGGTTGATAATATATATATATATATATATATATATATATATATATATACAGTAGCAGCCATAATATAAGGAACCGAAACAACAAAGACATAAATATGTGTATTACTTAAAAAGTAATGCATGATTAGTAATGAAATTTTTACCGAATAAAGATTAGGGTGTAATGCATAAATATTATACAAAGTTACAAAAATTTACATAATAGTTTTTTTTAAATGAAAATTAAATGGAACAAAGGAAATAAGCTACTGGACAAAAGTTAAGGAACGATCTTGTTAATACTTAATTGTGAACAAAATATCAACAAAATTTAATATTTGGTAAACATCCCCTTATTTTCAATGACTTCTCTGCATTGTCGACCACATGATCTAATTATTTTTTTGCAAAAATCAGCAGTAATTCCCTCCCATTCGTCTTTCAATAACTCCCATTAGTCATCCTGGTTTTTCGGATGTTTTGTCCCTAATAAAGAATTCCCTCTGTGTGTTAACATGGTACATCATGTGCCTGTTTCCTTCTTGAGTTTATCCTCCTGTCTGGAATATGAAGCTGAAGACCTGCATTCACACAAAACAAGGTATAGCTATGCTTGATATCTAATTTTATTCATAAATTTCTTATAAGATATGCAGATAATACAGTGTTGATTAAAGGAAATCTAGAAGAAATGACTAAATATCAATTGTAAGAAGACAGATTATATAGCAGTCTGAAAAAAAAAAAAAAAAATAGCCCAACATGCAAATTACAAATTGGAGATACCAAAAATTCACCAAGTACAACAATTTGAATATCTGGGAAGTGTTTTAACAGACTGAAAATGTGACACTGAAATCTAAAGGCAGATTGGTATAATGAAAGGTGCCATCCAAGAGCTAAGCAAAATATTAAGAAACAAGAAAATTTCATTAGCAAATAAGGAACAAGTACTGAACTATTATGTAATATCAGGCCTCCCCTATGGCAGTGAATACTAGACAATCTTTTCACAGATGAAGAAGGGATGTGAAGCAATAGAAATGTCATTCAACAGAAGGATACTGAGAATATCATAGACTGAGCCTGTGAGCAACAAGTTAATATTTTTAGAGAAAATGGAAACAAAAAGGACACTTATATGTAGAATCAGAGAGAGGAAATCAGGGCATATGAAGAAAGAGGGCTTGGAAAATTTGACACTCACAGAACATACTGAAGGCAAGAGTGGCAGAAAAATGCAGTTTATAAACTACCTAAGGAACTGGTGTAAATTGTTGGCAGAACAGGAATTAGAAGTTAGAGTAAAAAGACAAACATTACTAAGAACAGGAGGCTTTGGAAGCCATAATTGCCAGCGTCCTGAAGGAACATGGCAGAAAGAAAAAGAACATATGTTCCTATAACTAATCCAGAACTCTGATTGGCTAACTACTGTTCAATCAGGACTCCTTCTTGGGGCCACATGGTAAATTCAAACCTGAAATCTTCCTCTTTTGCAAACTAACAGCCATAGTGACCACACGTTTACTGAAGCTATCCTTCCTGATGTTAATGAAGTCCAGAAATGACAAGGCCAAAAATCCCACTTGTTCCTTGGATACTCTTCTAACAGATAAGTCTGCAAATATAAATTATATTTGCAAGCCTTTTAGCTATTTGTGCATACACTCATTTGTACATTAAAACTTTAGGTATAATACACTGTCATAGAGTTGCTTCTCTTCTTCAAATATATATGTGTTTGTCTTTCACTTTGTGGAATTTAACTGCACCCGAAGAAAGTCTTTAAAATCCACTTTGTGCTCTGTAATAAACAAAAGTCATGTATATAGGGTTTAACATAAATTATTTTCAGGAGTGATCTATGTACAGCATTGATCACTTGTGCTAGCTTCTACTACAAGTATAATTAATAAAAGTCTCATGAACCCAAAATTCTAATTAACCCTAGAATGTCTCATTGACGCCAGGCTTATTGGTACTACACATCTGGTCTCCTTCAAGATGCATGTCACACCTGGCATCCCATTAAAGGCATGTTGCTTCTAGTATTCCTACTTACTATGACTTCAGGTGTGTCCTCACCATTGATTGATAGATGAAAAGGCAGGAATAAACCAGAGTGGCACGAGGCACCCACACGTAACTGTCCTCATCTCAGTTTGCATAAAGACAAACAAGTCTGACTCTAGGATGAAAGAATGAACACTGCTATAACAACCATAAAACTTAACAGCAAGAAAACAATGGAGATCAAATATACTATCCACTCCTCTTCTGAACTTAATTCATTTACCGCCTGCCCAGATCATTCTAATCTCACCATGTAGCAAGTTCACTACCACATGATGAAGCTTTGTTAAAGATCAGTGAAACAAAGGAACAAACATGTGAAACAGACTTGAATACAATTTGTAAGAGAGGCAGTTGTCATAGTTAGGCTTTCCAATTGATAATGAAGTATCTGCTCCCTATGCATACAGTAAATATCCCTGGTCACATTTTCATCAAGTTCAAGGCAATTTGTAGTTAAATAAGTTCCCAACATGTAGCAAGAAATCTCACATGCTGGATCACTGGTACTTCACTAGTGGTGATATTCGATAGGAAATAAACTCTTCGTCAGCAAGTCTGGTTGGCAATAGCATGTTCCACATCAGAAAAATCCAGCCTTTTACAGCCTGTTGATGCTTACTCCCAAGACTGTCAAGTGCACAAAAGATCACATAACAACCATGGGGTCTTTCGTAGACTTGACAATCTTGTTTGTTTTTCTGTGTAACCAGAAAGACAATGTCTTTTCTCAGTGGCCCTCAATGCAGACAGATCAACCATTGACTCATCTCTTTTTAACTAGTTATATGAAATGACTGGCCTCTTACACCAATTCCATGACACTGAGAATACATAAAGGTGGGACATTCCTGCTGTTAAGAGCAGACCCCCTGCTTGACATATTTTTTCAATTATTCCATATTTTTCTTTCTAATATTTTATTTTTTTTCTTCTTCTAAAGTTCCTTTCTTGGGGGTTCAAAACAAGGCCTTTGTGGCCATGTGAACTTCTTTTTCAGCCATAAAAACAAAGTTCAGTAAAGCAGTCCGTGTCAGATAGGATTAATTCATGTCCTGGCACATCCTCTCACAAAAGTCTAAATTATCAGTGAAAAATCAGCATTAAATAACCTGAAAAAAGGTTGAAATGCCATTAACCAAACCAGTGGAAAGAAAGTTTGCCTTCACCAAGTTGATAAAAACAAGTTTTGTCAGGACATGAGAATCAGTAAAAGTAATTCAATATGGCTGCTGATCTAATACAAGTGGCAAAAGATTCAATATGGCTTTGTCATCAATCATAGAAGGTAGCACCTCATACTTTATTTTGCATACATGTTAGTCTGATATTTACTGGAAATATACAATCACTTTTGTTTATATTTTATCATTAACTTTCTTGTTCTAACATGATTTTCTTTTTTTTTTTTTTTTTTTTTTTTTACTCTTCATTGATTTTATTTTTTGTGGGGAGAGTGGTCATCCGCTTTCTCCATTTTGTCTATCATTGAATATATTTTTTTTTAATTATTTGCTTACCTTCTTTTCCACTATTTTTCCCCATTTTTAGTGATGAGGGTAAATGCCATTCTCTTTCATCTTCACCTCTCTCTGTCTGTCATTTGATTTTTTTTTTTTTTTTTAGGTAAGGGGAGATGTCAGTCTCTTTTACTTAATTTAAATTTCCATCACTTTTTCTTCTTGCCTAATTTCTTCTTTCCAATTCCCTGCAGCTTTACTTTTCCTTATTATCTTTTTATTATTTTGTTCTATTTCTTCCTCACATTTATCTTTCTATTTTTGCCTCTCCTTTAACCTCTTCTTTCCTTTTCCTTTTTTTGAGAGGTGGGGAGGTGGTTTGGTGTTAAGATGTTATTTTCAATTTTTGTCTTTCATATTTCTATATTTCTGTCTGTCCTTCAACCTTTACTTCTTTTTTTTTTCATCCATTTTTCATACTTTCTTTTCTCTTTGATGAGGTGGGGGGGTATCATCGTCTTCTACATTATTATCACTTTCATCTTTCCCTTCTCTGTCTAATCTCAATTCTTTCTTACCTGCTTTCTTTTTCCTTTCTTTTTTTTTTTTTTGGTTAGTTATTCTCATCTGTTTCTCTCTCTCGTTGCTAAGCCTCTCTTTTAATCTCTTCTTTCTTTTTCCTTTTATTGGATGTCGTGAAGTGGCAAAGAATGAACACGTCATTCTCTTCTATTTCTTCGCCACTTTCATCTTGCTCTATTTTTAAAAATTTAAAAAAAAAAAAAAAGAAAAATTATGAAATGGTTAGAAAACCATTTCATAATTTTTCTTTTTTTTTTTAAATTTTCAATATTTCATTTTCATCCATTCACCAAAATTCTGTTTTGCTCCTCTTTTCCTCACTCAATCTTTTTCCCTTTCTTTTTTTAATCTGCCTTCCAATTTTCCGTCTGCTCCATCATCATTCACTTGATCTTTTTATCCTTTTTACTTCCCCCCCAATTTTTTCTATTTTCTCTTTTATCACTTCTCCTCTTCAGTGTATCTCTTTCCTTTCTATCTATATTTTCTCCTCTTCCCCCTCCTTCCTTTTTTTAAATCCAATTTTCTTCTTTCTCCATCTTAACCCTCTCTCATCTCCTGCTTGCTTTCTGTCTTTCTTCCATTTTATTCTTTTTCTTTTCTGTCCTTTTTCTGTACTTCCACTTTTACTTTGTATCACTTCTCTTTCCGCCCTCTCACCCTTCTCTCCTCTCTCTCATTTCCGTCTATATTTTCTTCTCTCTACCACTCTCAATTCCTCACTTCTTAGTTGTTACCTCTTTTTACCCTCATCCTTTTTTCTCTTTCATCCTTTTTGATCCTCTTTTCCTCACACCTCTTTTTTTCCTATTTTCTTTTAATTTCTTTCATTCTTCTTTACTCAACTTCTTTTTATGATTCATCCTCTTTGTCTTCTCTCATTTTAGTTCCATTTTTTATCCTATTGCCCTTCATTTCTATTAGGCCTCCAAATCTGATTTTTCCTTATTCCCCCTTTGATATGATTCTAAGAACAGATGAGGAAAGAGGGCAAAGAGAATTTAACACTCACAAAATACAGTGAAGTCAAGAAAAGCCAGAGAAAATAGCAAGTATCTAACTCGAGTTTGTGCAAATGGATGGAAGAACAATATCAAAGAAGAATGGTAAAAATCAAAAATTAATTACCAAAAAGAAGTTGTGGAGAGCCATAATTATCTATCTCTTGAAAGTATCAAAGACAAAAGTATATTTTCCTATTTTCATTCTTTCTTTCATCCATCATGTTTATTCTTCCCTGTCTTTCCCCCCTCCCACTCTTTCATTATTCCCCTCTTTTTCTTTTTCCCTGTCCCTTTTCCCACTCTTTCCCCTGTCCCTTTTCCACTCTTTCTCCTTTACCCTGTCCTTTCCCCTCCCACACTCTTCTTCTTGTCTCCTTCCCCCTCTCACATTTTCTGTCCTTCCCCTCCCCTTTTTAAATCTTCCCACCCACTCTTTTATCTGTCCTTTCCCCTTCCATTTTTAAGTCTTCTTTCTTCCCACTCTCTTTTCTGTTCTTTCCCTTCCTCTTCTTAAGTTTTCCCTCATACTCTCTTTTCTCACCTTTATTCTCAATTTCTTTCAGTGTCTCCCAATACAATCACCAAGCAAACAATCAAAAGATTTAAATTTTTTACTAAAAGCTTTTTGCAATGAGATTTGCAAGAAAAACAAAAAATGAACTCCAAACATTCTGATCAGAAGAGTCTTTGGAATGGCAAATCTCCTTAATTTGGTTTCCAATTACCAGGAATAATGCAAGCAAACTATTTTATCCCAGATCCAACAATTTGCCTTTATGTTTACACCTGTACATATCTACGCTTACATATTTATTTACATTTTATATTAATAGATACTTATATCAGTATGTGTAACTAAATGAGAAATATGTGTATGTATATAAATATGTAATTGTGAGTGTATGAATTACAAGTGAATATTTTTACGCATTAATATAGGTCCATACCTATATGCACCATTGCATCAAATAGTCCTCTTGGAGAATATTTTCTCTTTTCTTATATATTTTTTCATTGAATATGACAGACAAGGTGCTTTTGTTTCATCTTTTTATACAATTTCTCATGCAATGTAATAATTTTTTCTTTTCACATGGTAAATTATATAAAAATAATGGAAGCCTTATTAAAAAAAAAAAATCCAACACTTAATAATATTAACTATGAACATGGACACAATATCTTGACCATGTTTTGAAAAATGAAAACATACATGCAACACACTATTTCTTATTTAACATTTAAAATATTTAATCCTTAATAATGGCTAAATGTACAGATGAAAGCGCTCAGATAAAAAGAACATTCAGACAGTTTTTATATAATCTATCATCTGAAAAGAAAAAGATTAGATCGCATGAGAAATTGTATAAAAAACTAAATAAAAGCACCTTGTCTGTCATATTCAATGAAATGTGAATGAAAGCAGGATTGCTGCCTAAATACACAAATATATGTGTGTGTGTGTGTGTGTGTGTGGATGACAATATATATAAAAAAATGGTAAAAATATAGTTTTAAGGTATGATATATTTATAGGTTAAAGTGCTCAATATCAGAGATAGAGCTTATGTAAGTATAAAATATAAATAAATTTCTGGATGTCACCTTCAATCTAAGAAAAGGTACATATCAACCATACAGAAAACTTAATGACAAACTACTATATATATATATATATATATATATATATATATATATATATATAGATAGATAGAGGTCTTGATTCCACAGAAGAACACAGGTTTAAACAAAGATGATATCATTTTACATACTTATTTTCTTTAAGGATTTCTTTTCAGCCAACACTTTTTCAGCTGGATGTTGGTGCAATTAAACAAACTCAAGATATAATTCATAAAAGAATAGCAAATGAAGAAGAGAAATTGGAACACAAAACAAATTTTAATTGTAAATAGTTAATGACTAAAAACAGATATGAAAGTGTTCCAATAGAGAATAAAATAAAAAAGCTTACTCATAGTCTTCCAAGCAAACACAAGGAATGGATAAAATATTCCTTCTGTCTATATAGGTTCAACTGATATAATTTAATATATAGACATTTGAGATAGGTGGTGGTGGTGCAAAGTGAGCTCTATGCAGCACAGAAAAGAATGTGTCATCATACTTGTCAGCACAATCTGGGTTGTTTAACAAATGTTGTCCAATTGATGAATTGTGCATGGACTGATTTCTCTTCCTCATTTGCTATTCTTTTGTGAATTTTGTCTTGAGTTTGTTTAATTGGGCAAATGTCCATCTTTAAAAAAGTGTTGGCTGAAAAGGAATCCTTAAAGAAAAAAGGTATATAAAATGATGTAATCTTTGTTTATATATATATATATATATATATATATGTGTATGTATGTATGTATGTATATCTCTTCCAAAATCCTGCCATCAATAATCAAGCAGATCCCAATCAATTAACCATAGACTATCTAACAATTCTTCTAGTGAAACCATCTTCAATGAAACCAAGAAAGACTATGAAACAGCCCTAAAAGAACAATATAATAAACCGAGTCAATGTAAAATCAGCAAATATAGAAAAAATACACAGGACTAACTGAACGAACCTGGAAACAAAGAAGCTATGTACACAAAGCATCCTTTACAAATAGTAAATACACAAACAGCACAATACTTTCTAAATATATCTGGGAGATTAAAAACAAAAAACAAATCACACCAAAAACATCAGACAAAACAAGGAAAACACCAGCCTACAACAAGAAATCCAAAAACTGTAAACTCCATCTAGAGGAGAAAATAGCTATAAATACCTTCCCAGACAAATACAAATTACTAATTAAACAGTCAGAACTTATCTCTCAATATGCAGAAATGAAAAATGTTTTTTACTACATTACTTGAAAATTGAGAACTAAAAAAAAAGAATAAATAAAAAATATAAAATAAAATAAATAAAAACAAAAAAAGTAAAATAAATTAATCCAAGTAAATAAATTTAATAAATAATAAACAAATTAAGAAACTATGAGTGCACAATGTAGCAGGAAACTTGGGATTCTTTAAAACAAATTCGCAGCAGATTCTGGCTCAGTATGCACCGCTGTGATCTGTGTTGAGCATAAAAGACTTTTGACTTCTCAATGAACACTCGCCCTTTGAAACGTTCTTGCCAAGCTAGAGAATTTGCATATTGAGCATGCTGCCAACCTCAATCTGACTCAGTATAAATTTGCTTAGTAGCCATCTCTACTGAGTTCATAGTAACACTCTTATTCTCTGTCAAGAACTCTTCTTTTATGGCCAGTCAAAAAAAAATTAAAGAAACAAAATATGAAAAAAGTAAGTTTTGCTGGAAGTCGGTTTGAAAGGAACCATATTGGAATTCAAGATTTATAGCCAATGGCAATTTCTAAAAGATTATTCCTTGTCAATGTATTGTATTCTTGGGTGGATTGGTTTCAATTCAACCACTGCTTCAAAATCAGCCTCATCTTGCCTTGTGTGTCCACATTTGTATTGTATATTCTCTACACCCCACTTTAGCCCCAGGAACTTTTTTTTTCTTTATTGGATATACAAACAAGTTATACCAAGCCTCTTGTCGCAAATTCTATTAATGTTTTCCTGAACCAAAATAGAAGAGATTTTTTTACTTTTCTTTTTAGGCCAAACAGTTACTATTTGCGACTCTCTCTCCAAAAATTTCTCCTCTGATTACCGGTACTTCAAGAATTCTGCCAGGAGATCCTCTTCTGCATGTACCTATTATGGAACCACCAAAGGATAATAATTCACTATTTTGTCAAATTATTTCTTTTTAATGTTCATCTTCTTCATATTTATACAATACATTTGCAGGATTCAATAAATAATGATTTATATATTATTAGCTTTGAGATTTACTGTCCGATCAAAGATACAAAAGAAAGTTGTTGAAAATGATTGATGTTTGGACTATTTGTTATATTGCATTGTTTTCTTTTTGTGTTGAATTTCTACATTCTTTCCCCATTTCTCTTGCCATATGTGATCATGTCAAAAAGAGAAAGAGTTCAGATATCAGTAATTACATCTAGTATTAAATTGATGAACCCAAAGACCACAAGAAGCCTCAAAGATTTGTCAAAAAAAGAAAGAAAAAAAAACCAAAAAAAAACCTCATTTATCATGCTGGTATATAAAACACATTTTTATCCCCCAGATATTAGAAATTCATAAATTTTAATAAATACATGAAAAGAATCTTATTTTAGGCTAAGCAGAGAACCTGACTGAAGTTTATATCTCTGAGATGAGGGATTATCATTATTCACATTATTTGGACTGTTATCCTCATCTTCATTGCCATATTCACAATGTTTCAGCCATTGTATGATCTGGCCTTCTTCAGGTGATTATTTCATTATTTTCCCAAAGCTTATATTGCAATAAGGAGTGCCAGAGAAAAGTAATAATAGCAACAATAATTGCAATATAAGCTTTGGTGAAAAAATGATTATATAATAACAGAAAAATTGCAATATGAGCACTGGTAAAAAAAAATGGTTGCTGAGACATAAGGTTTATAAGTCCAAAAAATTCTTATACAGGTGTCCTCAAAGACACATGGCCTAGTAGATAAAGATGTTGGTTAGATCCAGTGATGAGACCCAAAGTGTTGTGAGTTCAATAACAAAACTTGCAGAGTTGAGTTAAAGGAAAATAACTGAGACATCTGGAAGAGGCAGGGCATGTGGAACTAGAACAGTCTACCCTGGTGGATGAAATAAAGGGATTGGTTTAAAATTTCAATCACCTGAAGAAGGCTGGAGCGTACAATGGCCGAAACATTGTGGATATGGCAATGAAGATGAGGATAAAAGTCCAAATAATATAAATAATGTAAGTAATGATTGAAGTTCTAGTTTCAAATTAAAATGCCATATCCCTCCAGGATACAGATTTTTGATTTGATTTTTATGTTTTATCAAAGCTTTTTCAGGTTATTTAAAGCCAGAAAATATTTTTGGAAAAATTTTAATATTTTGAGAATGTTTTAATTTACTGATACAGGTCCTACTAATTAAACCATAGCTAGTGAGAGAAGAGGTGGATTTATACTGTTCTCAAGTATATTTGTATGTAAGTCAATATAACGAAGCCAGCTCATCTCTTCATCCTCCACACTTCCAAGCCTACAGCATCTGGCATTCCAAAATGGTCACCTATCTAGGTACTGACCAGGCTCAATGTTGCTTAACTTTGGCAATCATACAAGAACCAATGCTTCAACATGATATGCTCCTAAGCTTTTGAGATATAGGTCACCATGGGTCTACATGGATTGTACTTGGGAAAGATAGTGGAGTGGGTTCCATGATTTTGGAATTTATATTTTCCCCTAGAGAGTCCAGACTATATTATTTAACCCATAGCTGGAGGAAAAAATAACTTTCCCAAGAACACTGATGTAAAAATAAACAGCACTGGCTAGATTTGGAACTCAGCTTGCCTATCTCACTTCCTGTGCTGTTGGATTAATAATTGATGATAATC